CGAATTGCAAAAAGCTCGAACTGCAAAAATCTCAAAGGGGGAAAAAAAAAGAAGAAAAAATGGGGTGACACCCACAGTCCTGGGGACAAAGTGCAGCCCGGAGGAGGGGGCTTGCATTTAGAGGGGCTCTAATGTTTGATTTGGGGAAGGGGAGTATTTTTTTGTTTTCTTTCATCAACAAGGCACATCAGACCTTCCACCGGAACTCTTCAAGGGCTAACCAACCGTTCCCGTGCCTTCCTCCTACCTTCCTGCCTCTTCTCTCTGCTGTCCTCCTCCCTACCCTGCCTGTGGCAGATGCTGGAAGCTGGCTGGGGCTCAGTGGGAAGGCCTGGCCACCCAACTCTGCAGTTTCAAAAGGAACAGTTGAAAGGCCTGAGGATGATCCTGTGGAAGGAGGTCTAGGAAAGTCAGCATTCCTGAGGCCCAGGCCTCCGCCCTGCTTTTCTTTTCTCTCCGGCAAGGGGGAGGTGGGCCCAGGACCTCAAAGGGAGAAGTTTTGGGGTGCCTGGAAGGACTTCTCTAGTTCACACTCCTTGTGGCAGCAGGATGGCCCCTGGAGGTGGATATTTGTAGCTCTCTCTTAAAGAAACCCCACAGCAATTGCATTTCTGAATAAATGTCTGGGTGCTGGAAAAGAGTGAGTGGGGAGGGGGGTGGGACAGTCACTGTCCAAGGCTTCATCCCAAGGTGTCTTGGTGGCAACACTGGTACAAGAGGGCTGGGGGGACCCAGAGATGACCTATTCTTACCAAGGGGTGTGAGCTAGAAGGTCCCCCATTCAACAGCAGGAAAAGTCGATGGGGATGTGGCAACGAGGGGAGACCCCTCCAAACACATTCACTTGGCTGAGGGGCTGAGAAGGGGGTTGGAGAGATGTGCTAAAACCGCTATTTGCAGATGAATAGGCGAGGAGCTGCTCAATTCTCTCAGTGACAAACCTTAATTGCTCAAAACAAAGCAGGCTTCCAAGGGCCTGGCACTTCGAAGGCCACATCTTTGCCTGTAACTCACAGAACAAAGCACTACAGCCAGTATTTCCATTTAAAAAATAATAATAATAAAGTAAGGCAAATCATGGTACGTTTACCCTAATCTGTTTCCAAGAGCTTAACTTCTTCCCAACTCCCAGGTACCAGCTAGGTTATGTCATCACAAAGATCCATTTATTTTACCATCTTTTTAGAGAGGAGATGAGAGAGACCCATGTCTTATTTCTTAAAAGGTGGATCAAAATCTGAATTTCAAAGAATAACATTACTAAGCAATTACATGGGAAATCTAGAAGGCCTTCTGAGAGAGCTATCAAAAGACAATATTTGTCTAGAATTCGGGCATTAACGGCCCTGACACAGCAAAACCATTGTATTTTCCACAACTTTTGTTTTGCTCTATACAGCTGTGTTTTCACAGATGTCAAGCCATGTGTCTCCACCAAAAGGTTTAGCCCTCCCTTTAGAAGCGAATGCTGATCAAAGGTTCAAACGCAGAAATACAAGCTCCCTTCCCCTCTGGAACATGTTTTTATTTTTCCGCAGTGGCTGCAAACCAGAATTCCCATCTGCTGTCCTGCAGCACCCAGGTTAACCTTAGCAGTGGGGCTCGGAGCACTGTTATCTCAGCTAAGAAGGGCATAGATGAAGCAAGCTTGTGAGCGCCAGGAGAGCCCCTCCCCAAGATGTCCACTCAGCTCGGAAAGAATTGAGCCGAGCAGGAGCAGAATCCATTTTGGGTTGATGTTAGAAATTAATTTTCTCTTTCCTCAAACGTCAGGACACATTTGTGAATCGAGGAAGGGTTTTGCTTTGATTGCACACCAACTTGTAGAAAGAAAAGCATGTGAGGTCTCCGTTAGCCCTGCAAGACAGCAGCAGCAAGAATATGCAACTGACGCTTGGCTCGTTCGAAATTGTCTAACAATAGGAAATGACGTGATAAAATAATATTAGTCTCAAATATATTACATTTTGCTAAGCCATAGTTCTGAATGGAAATGCTTTTAGACGCCGGCTCCCCCGACCTGTTATTCTTTTTAACAATCTAGCACTCACTTCCTTTTCTTTCCACTGAACATGTCTTTGAAATGACTAAAATAGAAACAAGTAAGTTTCTGTATGCAAGAAAAAAAAAGGGCCCACTGCCGCAGGAGCATTAGCTCCGGAGGAGAGGAAACACGCCATAAAGCAGACGACAGGGTTGAAGACCTTTGAAGGTGTTCTTGCCAGGTTCTTAAGGTCATCGGGTGAAATGAATTAGAAGGAGACGTGTGTATCTGTCTACCTACATCTCTGCAGACAGTGGTTAGGGAGATGAATGGAGGGAGACATGACGGATACAAAGCTTCGGCCAGGCCCTCTTGAGATTTTACAGGCTCAAAGCGGGCAGCGGCGTGGACCGGTCTGAACACCAGTGTGTGAGTGCCATCTAGTGGCCGCCTCAGAACCACAGCCCGGGCACCGCACCTGCGGTAAGCTCCACCTATCTCCTCACACTCACTCTTGTGCTCTTACTGTAGCTTTTGTTGCCCTGATTACAAAATAAACTTAAAAAACACCGAAGAGCTTCAGAAAACAAAGCAGGATGTGGGACGTGGCCCAAAGTCGCCACCCTTGAAGCTGCCGCAGAGCCGCACGGGGAAGGTTAGCTCAGCCATGCCCACCAAGGGATGCTTCGACCGTATCTGAAGGCCACTCTATGAAAATAGAGCCTGCCATTCACAGCTGTCCTTCCGATGTCAGCGGACCACCCTCCCCTGCCTCTTAGAGTCCGCTACTGTTACAAGTCCAGCGAGCACCGGTGCAGCTAGACTCACGGGCATCCAGGAAGACATCTCAGCCATTTCTCCAGCTCCACATGCCGGGACTCAAAACCCCACGGTAGAGCAACCCACCAATATGCCCTGTCCCCTCCCCAGCTTTGCCAACCACAGCTCTGGGTGCGGGGCCTCCGGTGGTCTATAAATGGCAGCTGGCTGTTGGTCACTGGGTAGCAGGTGGTCCAGAAGGCCCCTGCCAGCCACTAGAGGACACTGTTCGGCCTTAATTCTGTGAGTCCCACCTTCCTAAAGACACCTGGACCCGCATACCGTCAGCACAGGACCGGAATGCAGCCCTGCTGTTCCTAGTCATCACTCCCACAGGAGAGCAATTCCTGTAACAGACCAGCCTTGTAGGAGCATGCTGTGAGCAGAGGGGGCAGAGCCCCAGGATCCCATGTCTTAGTGATGAAAATAATCTTTTTTCCTCTCTCTCTCTCTCTGTCTCTCTCTCTCTGTCTCTCTCTCTGTCTCTCTCTCTCTCTCTCTCTCTCTCTCTCTCGCTCTCTCTCTCTCTCTCTCTCTCTCTCTCTCGCTCTCTCTCTCTCTCTCTCTCTCTCTCTCTCTCAAGACAGGGTTTCTCTATGATTCGGAGGTTGTCCTGGAACTCTGTAGACCAGGCTGGTCTTGAACTCACAGAGATCTGCCTGCCTCTGCCTCCCGCGTGCTGGGACTACAGGTGTGCGTCACCACTGCCCAGCTGACAATAATCTTTAAAGTCATTGTATCCGGGGTCGTTTACCACAGCCCTCAGACACATCCTGGTTTGTAGAGTATGATTGGAATGGGTAACTTTACCCACATTGTACTTGAACCTGCCCAGGAGAAACAAAGCTGTAAGTCAGTCTGTGACAGAGTTTGTGCCTTGCCACAGTGAGACCCCAAGGTAAAAAAAAGCAGGAGGGTCATGAGTTCAAGCCCAGCTGGAAATACAGAGCAAGTTCAGAGCCAACCTCAGTCACTCAGTGAGATCCTGTCTCAAAAAGCAACAAAACAGGGCTGGGGATATGGGAGTGTGGCTTGCTCTTCCAGGGACCAGCGTTCAAGTCCAAGCACCTACACAAGTGAAAAACATACATACACTTAAAAATAAGTAAATTTTTAAAAAGATGTGCATGTCCCTGTGACGAGGACACTTGCTTGGCTGTTCAGCTACACAGTATAAGAAGCTGCCTGGCTACTTTCTCCTTTCTCTGGTGTTCCACTGGCTCTTTGGCTTATTCTTCCTCTAGGATAGTGTTTTAATTATTTATTTTTGCTTTTATTTTTGTAGAGGGTCTGTACCTATGAAGGCCGGAAAACAACCTGACGTATCTATCATACCTCAGGAATCATTCACCTTTTTGGGGGGATGCAGGAGACCGGGTTTCTCATGGACCAGAGCTTGGCAAGCAGAACAGGGTGGCTGGTGAGCATACCCCAGGAATCTGCCAGTTCTCCCTCCCCATGGCTGGGATCACATGGGTGTACCATCGCATCTGGCTTTTTTTTCTAAACATGAGCTCTGGGGATGAAACCTGGGTGGAACACAAGACTTTACCAACTATACCATCTCCAAGCACTATTGTTAGATGCTTTATTTTGTGTTGTTTTGAAATTTTTTACTTTATTTTTATTTTTCTATGTGGGTGTCCTGCCTGCCTCACATCTGTGTAGCATATACATGCTGTATTCACAGAAACCAGAAGAGGGCATCAGATCCCCTGGGACTGGAGTTTCAGACAGTTCTGAGCCATTGTGTGGATGTTGGGCACTGAACCCGGGTCCTCTAGAACAGTAACAAGTGCTGGTAACTGCTGAGCCGTCTCTCCAGCACCAATATTTAAAGTGAAACATCATTATTCCAGGCACCATGGCAAGACATGCACACAACAAGACGGTTACCTACAAATTCACGGTGGGTTGGTAACAGGTCTGCGACCCCAGGGTTCTGATGCTCCTTGCTCTAGTGCCTTGGTTGTCTCGGGCAGTGCTTTTTATTTGTGGTGTCAGCATCAGAACAGAAGCTTCTTAGCTTGTGGCTGCTTATTCCTGCTACTTAAAGAAAGATCCCTGTGGGCTGGCTATTAACTCAGAGATAGATCACTTGTAGGAGCAAAGGCTGTTGAGACTATCTCTAGTTCCCTAGGAAATAAGAGTGTGGAAGTGTAACATTCACCGCAATGCTTTCATCCAGAATACCCACATCCCATCCCAGAACACACGCATCCCACCCCAGAACACACGCATCCCACCCCAGAACACACGCATCCCATCGCGGAACACACGCATCCCATCCCGGAACACACGCATCCCATCCCGGAACACACGCATCCCATCCCGGAACACACGCATCCCATCCCGGGACACACGCATTCCATCCCGGGACACACGCATCCCATCCCGGAACACACGCATCCCATCCCGGGACACACGCATTCCATCCCGGAACACCCGCATCCCATCCCGGAACACACGCATCCCATCCCGGGACACACGCATTCCATCCCGGGACACACGCATCCCATCCCGGAACACACGCATCCCATCCCGGAACACACGCATCCCATCCCGGGACACCCGCATCCCATCCCGGAACACCCCTGTCCTTTTCTGGAAAACCTAGAGGTATTTCCAGTTGCCTTGATGGGTACCTAAAAAACCCCCGAGTCTGCAATCCAAGGATTTTCACATTTTGGCTCCATGAAGGTTTCCACTCTTGCCCTTCACCACTCCCCTACACAAACCCTTTCTCTTCAGCATGGATCTTTCTCTCTCAATAGCTCAGGCTCCTTTCACTTGCTTTCATTGGCCCATCTTCCTCAGGGCCACCTCTGCTGTAAGCATGAGCGAAGCCTACTCATCCTGGGAGTTTTATAGTCACATGTCATTCATGGAGATACATCCTAAGACATGGACATTAGCCACTTTGTCTTTGTTCAAAAATTCATACTAATACAACTACGATCACTACAACATCCCACAGTGATTTAACGTATGGGATCACATTGCATGTGCTGTCCACAGTTGACAGACCCTCATCATCCTGTAACCCATGCCTCTCTACTGCACCCTTGCTCATGACTGCCACTCTTCCATGCTCCCATCAGTCACATGGGTGGCCAGCACAGCCCTTCTGCTTGCATCTGGCTGTGACTGATTTATAGAGAGAAGCGTGTGTCAAGGGCAACCTTGTCTCCCAGACCCTAGAGCCTGTCTGTCCCTTTGAGCGACCTCGCTCACATTGATGGAGGAGATAAAAGCAGATGTGTGGCATAGGTGGCATTGCTAGGAATGCTGTAACCCGTTCCCACCCCATCTACTCATGTCTACACTGTATCCACTCCCCACTTCAGCCACTCTGTCTACCCTGTGCCCTTGCCTTACCTCATCCACTCAAGTCTACCTCTCTCCCCTCATCCACTAATGTTTATGCTCCCCCTTTTCCTTATCATCTATGTGTCTGCTCCATACCCTCATCTAAGGTCAGTGACAACTGGCAAGGCTGGGATCCCAGGTCTTGCCAGAGAGGTCTACATTTTAACAGAGCACTTCCTCTCCTGCTCCAAATGCTCAGCAAGTCGCATAAGCCAGGCTAGGTGAAGCTACATGTGGAGGTTAAGTCTCTTACAGACCTTCACTGGCTACTGATACCCTAAATCCCACTCTGTGTTTTGAGGAATGGCTGCATCCATCCACAGCTCCCAGTCTACAAAGTGCCCAGTTCTGTGGATGGACCTTGCCGACCAAGTCAATCTCCTCATGGAGTCTGCATCCAGATCACAGTGAAGGGAACCAACATGCTGGTATCACGCAGCTCTAGTGACTGAACTGAGATGCAGGGCTGTCAGCATGGCCAGAGCTGCTTTACCTGACTCCATGAGCTGCTCCAAACCCTTCCAAGACAGACCCCCCCTCCCCGCCTAATTGAGTCAGAGATTTAATTGCCCAAGGGTCAGGCTCAGAATCCTACTTCATTCAAAAACACATTGTTCTACCACGTGGCGGTGGCACACGTGGGAGGCAGACACAGGCTCTTTGAGTTCAAGGCCACTCTGGTCCACGGAGCAAATTCTAGGACAGCTAGAGCTACACAGAGAACCCTTGTCTTGAAAAAAACAAAAACAAATAAAGAAATAAAGAATAAAAAACATTATTCCATCTTTGTCACATGCTTTGCACCAGGGCAAGTGCTATGCTTTCAAGCAGGTATAGAAGTATCCCTCTAAGAGATTTAATCACTTTTTAATCAGTTATTAGTCAGTGTCTATACACTATATATAAATATATACACACATATACAAAACTTTGTGGGGTTTTTGTTGTTGGTTGATTGGCTGGTCAGTTTGAGACAGACTCATGCTGTTGCCCAGGCTAGCCTGCATCTTAAGGCAATCGTCTTGTCTCTGCCTCCCAAGTGCTGGAATTACTGGCATGTTCCACCATGCCTAGCCAGGTTTACTTTAATGGGGACACGAGAGGATACAAAGATAAATGATGACCAATGAGCACACACATGCACACATGCACACACACGTTTGTTAGGTGAGTGTTAGGTTGTCACAGAGAAAGCGACACCAGGTTAGCTGACATGTGGAAGACAGTGTATACCTTGTAGGAGCTGGTTCTCTCCTTCCAGGGATCAAACTCAAGTTGTCAGGCTTGGCAGCAAGCACCTCTACCCGCTGAGCCATTTCACTGGTCCCAAGACATGTGATGACAGTTTCTGTGTCGCTGGGCAGGGAAGGCTTCTATTATTGCTCTTATTGCTTCCCTCTTTCATAAAGAGTCGTGCAGTGGTCAGAAATAAGTCTTTTATCTTTGTTGCAAACTATCCCTGCCCCCCACCTTTACTGGCGAATTCGTAAAATCTGCCAAAGAAATGGTTGCATTACAAAGTCTTACTCTCCTCTAACATCACCGAGACACCAGTTAGCTTGTCTACCCTCGTAGCATGGTTTCTGAGGACAATCCTGTTCCTCATAGGCTGCACTTGACCATCATCTTAGTGTAACATTATCTTAGTTAAAACTGATCTCCATGCATTATTGTCAAAGTGAACTGGCACCAACAACAAAGGGGCACTTTAAATGGAGCAACACAGAATGCAAGTGACACTGTGGTTTGAAAAAAACAAAACAAAAAACCAAAAACCATCCTTTAGTGCACAGAAACAGGACAGACTGAGTGCATCTGTGTGGGAACACGGAGCTGATAATCACTGCATCGCACTACACAGAGCAGGACCTACGTCCATTTGAACACAGCTCTGTTGTCCGAGAAAAGCAGTCCCATCCCAGGGCTTTTAATTGGCATTCAGTATGGAAGAATGTGCATTTGGGCATCCCAGACAATCTTACTAATTTAACTTCCCTTTAATCACTAACAGTTTTAATTGGGGAGGTTTGTTATATTTATGAATGAAATATGAATATAAACATATATGTGTCCTTATGTTCAAACAGAGAGCATTTTTAAGTCCAACCTGCAAATGTAAAACCATGTGGCATAGAAGACTCAGCTGGAGAAAAAAAAATGTTGCTTCCATGCATTTGTAAAAACTGCTCATTTTTAAAGAGCAGTGAAGCTAGATGAATTAATTTCAGTTATTAATAGAAGGAAAGAGTGAGAGTAAATGCTGACTAGACCACCAGTCCAGGCTTATCAAGAATTGAACCATCATGTGTTTGCAGGGGCCAGAGGAAACCTCAGCTGTCCTTCCTCGGAAGCCGGCCACCTTGGTTTTTTGTTTGTTTGTTTGGGTTTTTTTTGGGGGGGTTGAGATAGGTTTTTTCTGTGGCTTTGAAGACTGTCCTGGAACTCGCCCTTGTAAACCAGGCTGGTCTGGAACTCACAGAGATCAGCCTGCCTCTGCCTCCTGAATGCTGGGATTAAAGGCGTGCACCACCACCCCCAGGCTTATTTTTATTTTTAATCACACATGAGAATGTGTCTGTGGTCGGGGAGTGATACATATGTGAGTGAAATTGCCTATGGAAGACAGAAGAGGGTGCCAGAGGGTGCTACTCCCTGTAGCTTGAGTAATGGGTGGTTGTGTTGACTTATGTGGGTGTTGGGAACGGAACTTGGGTCCTCTCTCAGAGCAGTACACACTCTTAGTCATTGTCTTTCCAGCAGACCTGCCTCTTCTTTAAGACAATGTCATGCTATGTAGCCCTGTCTGGCTCAGCACTCACACACACACAGAGCCCAGGCTGGCCTCAAGATCATGGTCTCAGCCTCCCAAATGCTGGAATCACAAGTGTGAGCTACTACACTCAACTTTTATGAAATTCTCGGGCTGTCGGCACTTCTGGCCATGTGATCTGCTCTGAGACACATCTGTAATAAACAGGAGCCCCCAAGAGGGAACACAGGCAATCCCATGAATCAGATTATCATCAGACTGTGTGGGTGGCAAGGGGAGTCTCAGATACCAGGTCTGACAAGAATACTGCTTCAGAATCCAAAGGACAATGGATCATCAACTGCGGTGCTCACTAACCATGTCACCTATATTTTCATCTTAGAAAACAGGTAGAATCCCGGCAAGCTACGCCATGCACAGCCACTGTGCACTCAAGCCTTCGGAATAGTCAGTGGCGTTGGGATTTTTGTCTCTGGACTATAGAGTTAAAGGCAGAGTCCTGCCAATTGTGAGGTGCCCTCTCTCACACAGACCACCCACAACCACGGATTTTCCATCTGGTGAACAAAACAGACAGCTCCCTAATTATTTCTGAAAAGGATTTTCCCCCGTAACATACTTTTCTTTATTCGTCTGTGACCTGGAACTTAACAGAAAACCTGATGCATGACAACTTCATTTCTTGTAACGAAACATCCTACTTTATTGTTTTAACTGGTGTTTGGGTTTTTTGTTGCTGCTGCTGTGTGTTGTTTTGTTTTTGTTTGTTTTTTGGCTCTAAGATAGAAATTATTACCCCAAGATCCAGCACACCAAACACAATTCCCAACCCAATTCCAACCAACAACTGTTTTCTTTGAACAGAGAACACCCTGTTTAAATACGAACCACTGAAGTTTTCGCTCACAACCAACAGGACAGAAATAGGAGGGAAATTATTTGCAATCGTTCTCAACTGGGCACCCATACTGCTAGTGTCAAAATCTATGGCTTTTCCAACAGGATGGCCACCTCTGCCAAAAGCATGCTCAGAAATGCCAACTGTAATTAAAATCTGGCACCTGTCTTGGGCGCCAAATTTGCTTCTAATGTCTCCATGATGCAATGTGTCTCAGCTTTGGAGGATGTACGATTATTTCTTGCCCTCTGCCCTTCGGAAAAACACATGAGCAGGAAAATAATTGACGGCTGTTACCCCCAAAATTACTTTTCTCCCATCCTAACTCTGATGCATCTTCTCTGCTTTCTCCCTCAGAATGTTTGTTTAATTGGTCCCAAGAGAATCAGCAGACACCCCTCCCCACATTTTCTTTTTACAACCTGTGGGGAAAACAGGCACCAGGCACCTTCTTTCTCCTCAGGGTTGCTTTTGGGGCGTTGGAGTATGATATGAACTGACCACACAAAATTTATATACTCCTGAATTGAGATTGCCTTC